AATACATGCATTTGGAAATGGAAAGTCATGAAAAATGCATTTGACTGGCTATTTTTCATGCACGTGCAAAATGACGTGCATGGGTCGTATTGAGTATAAAAGCACATGGAAATGTTCGCCAGTATCAGATTGCAACGTTAACATCATCGACCATGCCAAGATTAACAGCAGAGCAAAGAGAACGGGCACTTGGTATGATCCAGCTTGGTGCGACCCACGACCATGTTGCCCGAATCTTCAACTGTATCCGTTTGACGATCACCAGGCTTATGGCACGTTACAGGCAAACAGGCAGAACGTCGGACAGACCCAGGAGTGGTAGGCCGCCCGTCACGACCGCCGCTGAAGACCGCTACCTACGTGTGTTACACTTACGTAACAGGTTCCTCACGGTGACGTCATCGGCAGAGACAGCGCTCGGCCATCGTGTCAGCAGACGAACGGTGTCTCCAGGAGGCTACGTTTGCACGACCTTCGCGCCTACCGACCCTTCCGTGGCATAGCACTGAGCCGTCAACATCGACGTGAACGTCTGAGATGGGCACGCCAAGTTGCAGGCTGGCAGAACAGGCAATGGGCTCGAGTACTCTTTACAGATGAGAGCAGGTTCCACCTTAACAGACCAGACGGCAGGATACGGGTACATCGACGCAGAGGTGAACGTACTGCACGTTGCTGCGTACAAGAAGTGGAGCCCTACGGCGGTGGAAGCGTCATGGTTTGGGGAGGCATAATTGGAGACAGAAAGACAGACTTGGTGATCGTAGACGGTAACTTGAATGGTCAAAGGTACATCGACCAGGTTCTCCGACCAGTCGTCTTGCCATTCCTGCAGCAGAACCCCCCGAACTGTCTTCCAACACGACAATGCTCCATGCCATACAGCACAGCGCGTTAGGGGTTTCCTTAACGCTAACAACGTTCACGTCTTACCATGGCCAGCACGTTCCCCTGACCTCTCCCCCCATTGAGCACCTTTGGGACCATCTTGGGAGGCAAATTCGCGCCAGACCACATCCGCCTGCCAACAGGAGAGCTCTTGCCAGAGCACTGCAAGACGAGTGGAACAGGATCCAACGTCCGGTGATCAGACGTCTGACGTCATCTGCCCGACGTCGAGTTCGAGCCTGTATCGATGCTGGAGGAGCACACACTCGATACTGACTCTAACTTGTGGTAAAATGTGCTCAAATGACTGTTTCAGTGGGACTGTGTAAACTTGTACGTGATCGAATACTGGACAATCGACCCCACCCTCTTTAATTGTTGAATATCTGTACCTTCTTTGGTTATGACTGTATGAATTTACGATATGTTGTAGTTGTTTGATTGTTCTGAAAATATAAATTGTCACCTTATGCTTATGACGTCTTGTTTTTTCTCACGTTGTGAAATTTACTTGGTATCGTTTCTTTTGCCCCTAAGTGTATATACACGATTGTATTGTTATCTATGCACGTCGATTGTCATCGTCAATGGAAAACAATGCGTTGGTGAGTATTTTAGGCATGTGTTTTTTCATACTCCGACTTTCATATCTTTCGTTATGTTATGTTTTTTGTGCTTTTGATAGTTGTAATCGTCAACGTAAAACAATGTGTTGGTGAGTATTTTAGGCATGTGTTTTTTCATACTCCGACTTTCACATCTTTTGTTATGTTATGTTTTTTGTGCTTTTTGAAACTAGAGCAGCGTACAACTTGACTTTTATTTTCTTAAAGTCAGTGAGTTGAGTTTCTGACGCTTTTAGTCATATTCCTGCTAGATGTTGCTAGTCTGTATTAATCGAGTCCGATGGGTCAATTCATGATGATCAACACCATGAGCATCGATCTGTGCATTTAGGAATCGATCACACGTGTCAACCTAGTCAGCGAACCTGCTCCAAAACGGTGTAAAGCTCAACTCACTCACTTACAATTTTTAGTTAGGTTTGAATCTACTATTTTGTTCAATTACTAACCGTAATCTTGTTACGACTACAGTCCAGATGTCTTCATCGGCTACGACACAGTACACTTCAAGACCCACTACCCTTCCTTCAATACCCACTCCAGCACCCACTACCCTTCCTTCAATACCTACTCCAACACCCACTACCCTTCCTTCAATACCTACTACGAGCTTGTTAACGCGGTGCGACTGTACATAGACACCGGAGTGCTGAACCAACTTGCTATGACCACCATAAGCCATTACATACGTGAGCATGTTAACGCGGTGTGACTGTACACACACCCCTTAGACATCAGTATAGCAACCATATCTGTATTTATCTGTTTATATTTTCAGCGGACATGGTTACTCCGCTCCTGACGCTGATGGTTGCAGTCATTCTAGTCGGAGTAGGCGTGGCGTCGCGGCGCCATATCCTTGGGTGGGCTCTGAACATCCGTTCACGAATCCGTTCCCGTCAACGCAGACTCAGAAGAAGTCCACACGACAGCTTACCATTGTCGCACAGACCTACTGACGACGTCTCTCCAACCTCATCACGGGACACCTCTCCGTCTCCAACGCCGCAATCTGCTGACCACGTCTCTCTGTCTCCACTACGCCTACCGACCCCATCACGCCTACCGACCCAATCACACCTACCGACTCCATCACGCCTTGATGACCGTATCACATCGACTTGACCAGATCTCACTGACCCCATCAGCCAACTCAGTGTCTGAATCGTATCATTACTTGGTCTCATCACCTTGTTCATCGACCACCTCTGCTGAAGGACAAGTTGAAGAAGTACAAGTCGCAACTAACGTCACCACCGAAGCGGCTGCTGAAGAAGAAGAAACATCAACACCACCACAGTCTGCTGCTCATTTGTGTGATATAATACAGACACTTCGTACGCGAAGACGTGAAGAGAAATATGGTCGGAGATATGCAGATAAGTAGGTAATAAGTAATCTGCCATACACATACAATAGCATTCGTCATACCCACACAAAAGAATTCCTCACCCAAACAATAGCATTCCTGAACCAAACAAAAGAAATTCCTACAGGCTCAGCCTGTTGTTACAACAAAAGAAATTCCTACAGGCTCAAAAGAAATTCCTTAAGGAGCGTAGGAGTAACCATAGAGGTGAAACGACATTCCTACAGCTGCCTCTCAGGTATATACAGGTGCGTTAACTCACATTCCATAGATACGACATTTGTCAGTACACGTTCCTACTATTCCAATATCAAATTCTTATAGTTTTTCCTTGTTTTATGTAAAATAAGCAATGCAAGTTGTATTACACTCCATTTAATCATGCTCACTTCAAAAACAGTTTTACATGTAGATAACAGATACGTAACTATGCGTGAAAGGGTTAATCGCACTTATTCACCACATGCCACAGACTGTCTTTTCATTGTAGCTATATCACTGTGCCTTAACATATTGGATGAAGATAACTATTCAATTTGTTTTATGCCTTGCAAATCATTTAACCCTGTATAAGTTTTAATCCGGTTCATTATATATCATTTTTAAATATACACAACACCTAACTGCGTAGACAAAAGGGTTAATCATGTTAAAATGAACACATTACAGTCTCCTGACAGTTATGCCCGCATCGTGTTATTGCATGTTTACATAACGTTGTAATGTAGGTCGTCTTTTTCACCTTAAGCAGAGCATACCGAATATCAACAAAAACGTCTGCTTACTAGCACACAAAGAACGTCTGTCAATTCAAGCATGTATTTGACGTCATGTTTGTGACTGAGTTAGTTGTAAACTCATGACGAAGGAATGTTTTTACAGCATGTTCATAATCACGATTTTAAATATCACAAATAAAATCGTGAGGGACGAAAACTTTTTACATTTATTTATCTATGACTAGTGGTGTTTTTTGAAATCATATGATGGGTTTATGACATCAGTAAAAAGTCGTCACACAAAATGTTGTGAAATTTGGATCACGATTCTAGTTATTTTATTGAAATTATGCTCATGCGCTGGTTCAAAAATAAATTTTGCAAATTCACTTTATGCTATATAAAGAAATGTAGACTACAAATTCTCTACTATTAGCTTCTCTTATACTATGACTAGTCAGTTTTTTATTGACGATCACCTTGGTTTCGTTCTTCAGAATCCAGCTTCACAGACATATATATTGTGTGACACGGTAAAACGTCAATTGAAGAAATTGTTATTGTATTTGTTAGAAATTCTGAAATCATACGATCGATTTCAAATTTCAGGTACAAATATAAGTTCATCACAGTACGATCTGCATACCTGTTTGACACAAAACTGTGAGTTGTTGTTCAGGTTCGATCTCGAACACAAAGTGTTTTTTATTACAAGCGGTGTTTCGGGTAATCAATTTGCTTTTTCTTACAATGGAATAAAGCTTATTGTGGAAGCTCATTAAAGAAGAGGCGGAGTTGGAGATCGAAGCATTTCAACAGCAGTTTCCTTGAAGGTAAGTGAATTTTAATTCCAATAGATCAAATTTAACATACACTCTTTACTCTGTTCGTTGAAAGTTTTATATAGACCAAAAACTTAATTTTTGTTCATAGTTGTTACCTTGTAAAATAGAATTACATCACCCATCAGTTTAATTGTTATCACATTCTGTCTTCCGGTGTATTGCGATATCATTTATCTTGTCAGCGTGTTATGAGCGGTGAACGACCGAGGGTTGTTACCAGGTCAAATTTATCTCATTGTTTGCTCATATGAGCGACGTATAAAGTGTTTATAAAGTCAACTTGGTTAGGTTATGTGATATTCCTGTCATTTTGTGGAACATAGTGTAACATATTCCTGTTAGACATTGATTGTGCTACAATAACACGTGTAATGCATGGCACAGTTTGGTATTTCTTGTACTTTGATGTCACAGACCTACGGTTCGCACCTCTGATCTTTGACCGATGGTGAGCGAGATTCACATGCTCACTTAATGGTGTACGTGCAGCTACTTTGATTGGATAATAGTTAATTTATCACTTGTATTCAGAACCTCTAAATAGTATTTTAAAATCAGTCATAATGATGAGACCATTAGTTGTGCTCGTGTTGTTGTTATTCACCTGCATAGCAGGTGAATCACAACTTTTTTCACGAAATTGTAAACCTGTGTCCTCCAAAGTGTTAACATGTATCGCTACAGGACATAAACTGGTGCATGTAAACGGAAAAGTGTATCATGGTATCGAATACTTGAAACTAAATGGACCACACGACCAGCTGCTCATTGCCTTGTCGCGTTTTCCAGACCTAAAGGTAATAAGTTTATTTCTATATTCTTACGGAACATTGATATCAAATTATATCATCTTAATTATTCATATCATGTTCCTCACAACTATGTTTCATATAGAGAATTACAAATATATACTTATGTTTTCAGCACATCAAAGGAGACAGAGCTGACTGTGCCAGTGTGGAAAACAATAGCGATAGAGGAGGAAGACTCATTACTGTCAACTATCGCCAGTGTTATTGTAAGTGTTTTTTATTTCCCTGGTTTTAAAACTGTGATACACTCTTGCTTATGTTTACTAATCACACTGCTGTAAAAGCAACCAAATAGGATACACTTCTGTACTACACATCTGAATCTATATATAGTGGTTATACATGTTGTTTATTGTCGCAATTTTCAAGATTGTGTGAACACATAAGATTATTGATGAATCTATTCATTTTTGTTGTTGTTGTCGTTAAAATTTGAACACCTACATTTTTACATATGCATACGACCCGTGAAGGTCCGGGGTAGAATTGGCCTTCAGCAACCCATGCTTGCTGTAAAAGGCGACTGAGCTTGTCGTAAGAGACGACTAACGGGATCAGGTGGTCACTCGCTGACTTGGTTGACACATGCCATCTGTTCCCAATTGCGCAGATCGATGCTCATGTTGTTGATCACTGGATTGTCTGGTCCAGGCTCGATTATTTACAGACCGCCTCCATATAGCTGGAATATTGCTGAGTGCGGCGTTAAACTCAACTCACTCACTCACTCACACACACATATGCATACAATTGTATGATAAGGAAGAGTGTTATATATTACGTCCGCTTCTTTGAATTCTTTATTTATGATTTTATTTTCCTCTTTATATTCTTGTTTGATACTTACCTAATTCATTAACATATTATGTTAATTTGATTCCATGATTATTTCTCCAATCACTAACCTATGTTATTTACAACTTTGTTGTTTTGTAGTTAATTCAACCTCCTCAAGTACTACATACACTCCTACTACGATACCACATACAACTTCTACTACTCCTGTGTCGGCGCCTACAACGTTTACTACTCAAGTTCCTATCACGACCTTCACCACCTCTTGTTTACCCACACCCATCACAACTCCTACTACACAGACTATCCCCCCAACTACCACCATACCAACTACCACTACCGCACCAACAACTACTATCCCCCCAACTACCACCATACCAACTACCACCACTACTACCACTACCGCTCCAACTACTATCCCTCCAACTACCACCACTCCAACTAGCAGCATACCAACTACCACCACTCCAACTAGTATCACTTTAACACATAACACTCAAACCACAGCAACTACTGAATCACCGCCTGACACATCAACTAGCACTTTCATTCATCAAACAACCATATCCTCACCTATCACTTCACGTCATCCTAACTCGACTCTTTCTTTAACCTCACCTTCACTTTCCACACATACACCCTCATCAACAGATACATCAGTCAAGCCACTCATCATAACAGGTAGTGTTGTTGTTCTGTTTTGTTTCATCGTGTGTTGTATTTGTTTTGTCGTCAATAAAAAACGATCACATCAATTAATCAGACCTTTATCATTAGATCATATAAATTTATATCATGTAAATTTAAAGAATGAAAATGATTAGGAAGAGGACACAATTTATCAAAAAGTAACAACTGTATGAATCTTTATGTATCAATCACCTCACCGCTCTCCCTATGCACAGATCCACCCTCCCCTACCTTTGAGGACAAGGATGATGATTCTCACCTACATACTTATGACGAAGATGATGATGATGATGATGATGATGATGGTGTCATGGCTGATGATGATGGCGCTGATTACAACTCAACGCATGTGCTTGACACCACTGGTAGGTACATGTTCTTGTAAATATTTACCTGATGCATCTAGACAATTCATATTTTGTTCTTGTTTCAGACCAATATAGCACTCTATATAATGGCTGACTGTTCTTGTTTCAGACCAAATAATGGCCGCACTCTTGAGTCTTGTGACACTTGCTTTACTTAGTGGATTCGTGTGGGTTTTAGTGAAATACAGACGAAGACTGTGTCAAGCATTCATATGTCACCGTCACCAGCACAACAACCTACGTCACCGTCGCCAGCACAACCCTGAGATAGAACTAAATACCCTTCGTGCACGTTTACATTCATCGCCGATTTACACAGGTTCCTCGCTTCATCGTACACCTCCTCGTTCTCCCTTGGCTCAGACTACTAGGAAAACAGTCAAGACTGCTACCACCTCCACTTCAGTCCAGACTACAGCATTGACTACCGCCTCCACTTCAGTCCAGACTACAGCATTGACTACCGCCTCCACTTCAGTCCAGACTACCGCCTCCGCTTCACTCCAGACTACTGCCTCCACTCCAGTCCAGACTACTGCCTCCACTCCAGTCCAGACTACTGCATCGACCTCGCTCCAGTTCAACATTAATTATGAATCAGACGATTCTTTTGTCACTGACGAGGAGGATTTGCGTAATTTAACTCGAATGATCAATGACGGCAACATTAAAGCCAAACGTTTACAATCCCAGATTGATCACGTGAGAAGGTCCAAGAGACTGATGTACAAACAGATGAGAACCCCTCACTCTCTCATGATGCAGTGACATTCGTTTGAATAGATGCGCTTGACTACTAAGTGTGTAGATGCGCTTGACTACTTAGTATGTAAGTGACTTTGCAATAAGCCACGCGTTTGTACGACTTCGTATAACAAAGTTTGTTAACAGTTCCACGGGCAGTGGTTCACATGTAATCATCATAAAATGTATATAAAATGTATATAATCTGCGCTCGTTTTCTTTCTTATTTACAAGTAACAATGTAGGTGCACATTCTTTACCGAACAAAATGTATGTATCAATACTACTACAGATACATAGCTCCATATAATATGACACAACAAAACACATTCAAATTTTATAACTTTTATTTAGTGACAACGTATCGGTTGAATTTTGCACATCGCACCAAAAATATGAGTTGAATCATTGTCGAACGTTCACACTCACATGGACCGTCAGCAGTTACCTGAAAAAGAAAATGTACTTATTAACTCAGTACAATAATGTCAAATAGCGCAAATGTACATAGTAACTGTCTCAGCGTTAAGTAACTTCAAATGTACATATTCTATTACAAGAATACCAACATAATAGTGAAAACATGGTTTAACTTACATAGACTACTGGTGGTTTGGATACGGTGGTGGTGGTGATGGTGAAGGAAACTGATTCATCGGGTTTGGTGACATTGGATCTAACACCACCTCTGCCATGAGCAACAGCATGCATGTGTCCTGCTTGTATCGTTTGCATCACTCCTTGAGCCCCTGGCTGCATCCCAGTCATGACAGAGGAAGGCTCCCTCGTCGCTCCAGGTTGAGCTCCTGATGTCAGTTGTTGCGCTGACATTGCAGACGATGGAGGTTGAGGCTGGGAGGTTGCAGGTGGTTGCGGTGACGGCAGCTCCGGCTGAGGCACGTCATCGGCATTTCGTAATCAAATTATCATGAAGCCTATTTTAGAAGTGAAATGCAGACAGCTACAGTAGGGAGCGATCTGATTGAACAGTATTTGGAAGCTATGAACAAAATGCCTCAAACTTTAGATGATTATGAAGGGGTTCATTCTGGTTTAAATGTGTCTGTCATTGTGGTTTTGAAACTTACTGTGGTCAAGTTTGCTCCCTTTAGAGGAGGTACTTACATCCCATTACCACCAGCACTGGCAAAGCATACTTACTGCATTACCAATGTTAAAAATGAGGATAATAATTTATGTTTTCCCTTATCCATTCTTGCCAAATTGTTCCCATCTAAAGTCAACAAAGAAAGACAAAGTCATTACCTTCCCCATTTGAATCAACTCAATTTAGAAGGATTCACTTTCCCTATGTCCTTGAAACAAATTTCTCGGTTTGAACAACTAAACAAGTTGTCCATCAATATGTATGGTTTTGAAGATGGTACCTTATACCCAATGTTCATCAGTGAGGTTCTGGATGTAGAAAAAAACAGACAGGTGGATTTGTTACTACTGTCAGAGGAAAGTGAACCAGATGATTTTGAAGGGATGTTAGGATTAGAAGACCATGAGGAAGCCATGGAGATTGACAAGAGCCCAAACATGCATTACTGTCTGATCACTGGACTGAATAGGTTAGTCAGAAACAGAAAAGGTGATAAAAACATGTGCTTTGTTTGTAGAAAATGTTTATGGTCATTTTCATCCAAGACAAGGTTGGAGTGAGTGAGTGAGTGAGTTAATATTTAACGTCACATCGGCAATATTTCAGCCATATCGTGACGAGAACATTTGATATTGAAATGAAATATATGAATATTATAAAAACCTGCCAACGAAGGGCAGTAAAACAACTAGAATATCACATATACAGATAAAACTAGTAATAGAGTCTAAAACATTTTAACCACAGGGGACAACACAATATAAAAATGGGCTATAGATCACCAACAACTGAAAGTAGGTCACCATGCTAGGGTCCATGGGGACTTACAGTACCTTTGCTACCTGCATGGACCCTAGTTGGATTTACACCATCCCTTCAGCCGCTGGTGATTGTAGGACAATTTAGCCAAAATCTAAATGAACAAAAATACTACGCTTAAAAACTTGGTATGTGAAAAGTCTACTTTGAAAGTTTTCGACTTCACGCATACCCTCTCAGGAGGACAATAATTTTACAGTACTTTAACCTCCTTTGAGGGTACAGCCACTAACAATCTAAGGTACTAATCTAAAATACCAATCTTTAAAATATATCTATTTATAAACCACATTAATCAGAATTCATCAAAGAAATCAATTTCTTTTAAAAAACCAATAATTAAATGATAACTAACATTTGTAAAAAGATCCTTCATTGTTTTTACATTGAAATATTTATCCCTTATGATGGAGAATTCAACACAGTCAAGCAGGAGATGCTTGACCGTGGTTCTCTCATCACAAGGGATACAAAACGGAGGATCCTCACCTTTCAATAGGTATTTGTGAGTATAGCGCGTATGGCCAATGCGACATCGTCGCATAATGACCTCCTCAAATCTGGACTGACAACCCAAGTAGGTGTAACCAATATAAGGTTTTATTGCATGTAGTTTATTAATACCTACTTGGTTGTCCCACTTCTTCTGCATCAGATCACGGATGTAAGTTCTAATGCCAGCTTTATAATCAGAATATGGAATAAGAAGTGGTGTCACAGATTTGTTGAGTGCTGCCTTAGCAGCAAGATCGGCCATTGTATTCCCAGAAATGCCAACGTGGCTGGGTAACCAACAAAAGACGATGTCGCATTGGCCAGTAGAAAGATCATTATATAATTCGATTATTTCAATTAAAAGTGGATGTTTGCAAGAAAGATTTTTAATAGCCTGAAGGCAAGAAAGAGAGTCAGAAAATATTATATATTGTTTATGTTTGGGGTGTCTTTGAATATATTTAAGAGCTGTTAAGATGGCGTTTGCTTCTGCTGTAAAAATAGAGCTGTTATCTGGTATTCTAGAAGATATTGTTCTGGATCCAATAACAGTGGCACATGCCACTGCGCCACCGTCCTTGGACCCATCTGTAAATAAGGATTTGTATGTATTATATTTGATTTTTAATTGATTATATTCTTGTTTATACTGTAATTCATTAGTTTCAGATTTCTTAAACTTTGTCAGAGTTAGGTCAACTTCAGGCCTCACCAGTTGCCAAGGAGGAGAAGAAAGAAGACGGGAAGGAGATATATTTTCCAGCTCAATGCCGGCAGCGGAAAGAAATGGTTTAATTCTTAAACCAAGAGGCGGAACAAGTGAAGGTTTTTTATTATACAAGTCCTCATAAAGAGGATTAAAACGCAAGTGTGAGCAGGATTGATTCATTAGAATATAACTTTGTGATATATTGTAGGGACAATTTGATACTGGCTAAGTTTTAAAGATGGCTCATCGGCCTCAACGTAGAGACTGTCAATGGGAGAGGTTCTGAAAGACCCAAGACAAAGTCTTAGACCCTGGTGATGGATAGAATCAAGTAGTTTGAGGTTGCTTTACAGGCCCCACCATATACGATGGAGCCATAATCAAGTTTCGAGCGGACCAATGATCGATATAAGTGGAGGAGGGTAGTTTGATCCCTCCCACTTTGAGTTGGAAACAACTTTCAACAAGTCAAGGGCCTTCAGGCATTTAGCTTTAAGTGATTTAATATGCGGAAGAAAAGTTAAATGGGAGTCGAAAATTAGACCCAAGAACTTGGCCTCCTTGACAACTTTGATTGGAGTGCCATGTAAAGATAGTTCCGGGTCTTTATGAGGTGTATATTTTCTACAAAAATGTATACAATTAGTTTTGGATTTAGAAAATTTAAAACCGTTTTCAAGACACCATTTATCTATTTTATTTAAACACAGCTGCAGTTGTCGTTCAATAGTATGCATATTTTTCCCACGACAAGAAATATTAAAATCATCCACAAAAAGAGATCCATCAATTGAATCATTTAAAACCTTTGATAAACTGTTGATCTTAACACTAAACAAAGTGACAGACAAAATGCTGCCTTGAGGGACACCCTGATCCTGACTGTAATGATCAGACAGGGTAGTCCCCACTCGGACTTGAAATTGTCTGTCTTCTAAAAACTGTGATATAAAAAGGGGTAAACGACCCCTCAAACCAAAATCATGGAGATCTTTCAAAATGCCATATTTCCAAGTCGTATCATATGCCTTTTCAAGATCGAAAAAAATCGACACAGCATGTTGTTTATTTAGCATGGAATTTTTTATGAAAGACTCCAATCGTACCAAATGATCGATGGTACTACGATTTTTCCTGAAACCACATTGAATGTCAGTGATAAGGTTGTTGGTTTCCAGGTACCAAACTAGACGATTATTAACCATACGTTCCATTGTCTTGCAAACACAGCTAGTTAAAGAAATTGGTCTGTAATTAGACGGATCAGTATGATCCCGTCCAGGTTTAGGAATAGGAATGATTATGGCATTGGGCCATGATGGTGGGAAATTACCAGAAGTCCATATATTGTCAAAGATATTTAATAATGTTTCTAAACATGATTCAGGGAGATGTTTAAGAAGCTGATAATGAATATTATCGGGACCTGAAGCAGTGTCATGAGCTTGCCCAAGGGCAGTATGGAGCTCATGAATGGAAAAGATTTCATTATAATCTCCCCATTATCGGAATTAAAATTAATTTTCTTTTTTTTCTTGCTGGTTTTTAAATTTCTGAAAGGTTGGTGAATAATTGGATGAGGAGGAATGTTTGGCTAAAGTTTCACCTAATTTGTTAGCAATATCAGATTTTTCTGTTAAGAAAGAGTCACCCTCCTTAAGATGGTGCACACTACATTTGGAACCTTTACCTTTTATCTTCTTCACCATATTCCATACCTTAGAAATAGGTGTTCGTGAGTTAATGTTAGAAACATAATTTCGCCATGACTGTCGTTTATTTTGTTTAAATGTACGACGAGCCTTGGCGTTTGAAATTTTAAATTGGTTTAAGTTATGGACTGTTGGGTGCCGACGGAAATATTTTTCTGCCTTTTTCCTAGCCTTTCTAGCTTGTTTGCAGTCAATAGTGAACCATGGCTTACGGATGTGTGGGACCATAGAGGACTTGGGAATACAATCATCAGCAATCATATTCAATTCATCAGAAAACATCTGAATAGGATCAGACACATTTAGAAAAAAATCAGGTTTTAATCTGTTTGTACACAAGGCATCGAATAAAGACCAATCTGCCTTGTTAAAGTTCCACCTAGACGATGGTGCAGCATCACTGGGGTTTATGGCTGAAAGAACAGTGGGAAAATGGTCACTTCCACAAAGATCATCGTGGACTGACCATTCAAATTCATTGTAGACAAGGTTGGAAGCTCACAAAACGTACTGTTACACAAAGGCACAAAGGGTTGATTTACCTAAACCTGAAGAAGCAGTGTACCAGTTTGGTTTAAGATCACAAAGCAAAACTGAAAGAGCGAAGTTTCTGATTGTAGCTGACTTTGAAAGTTTATTAGTGCCTGAACAGGGAAATACGTCTCGTCTGAATCGCCATGTACCCTGTGCTTATGCCTACAAGGTGGTGTGTACTGATGAACAATATTCTAAACCTATTCAAACTTATGTAGGTCAAAATGCTGCAGAACATTTCATTGAAAACATTTTGAAAGAATATGATGAAATTATGAATCTGTTTGATTCTGTTAA